TTTGTAAGTACCAACTTTCCTTAGCAGCTACGCAGGTCACATCATGGTGATTTCAGAGCATCTTAAAGTTGGTTAACAAATTTAACTTGGTGTATGTCCCTAAAGGAAACTGCTACATACCTGGAATAAATTCCACTGACCATGTTGTGCTGGAAAGAGAGCTCTGCTGTGCTGGGTCCTGCAGCTTTGGAAATAAGCAATACGACCAAACCCCGCATCTGTAAATTATTCCGGCTATCGTAGACAAACCCCCTGCAAAAAGGAAAGAAAAAAAAAGTAGGTTTTTCACAACTCATTTTCACTGGTTATATAGAAGTGGAATAGAAATACTCAGTCCTCAGGGTGCCATCATTTCATAGAGTCTCTAATATTCACATCTCTGTGGAAATAAGCTGCAGTTATTAATCACGATCTTTTGTCATCCTTTACCCATAACTTATAATGAAATATTACTACTACAGAAGAAAATGAGTATACAGGATTAAATCTTGAACATTTCCAAGGAGTAGCCTATGTCCTGTATTTCTGTCAAGATGTCACAAAAGCAGTATTTCAGAATAATTCAATGTGATACACTGTAACAGGAACATAAGAAACTTCAGTTTGTTTTTTGACATACGAATAAGCCAAAAGAACCCATATACTTCAAGAAAACAATAGAGAAAAAGTACAACCGCGGTCTATAATCTTCTGAAATGCAAGTGCACAGATCAGAGTAGTTATGAGACTGCACAATAAACACTATGCGGCTAAGAATTTTAGGAACAGAATATGCAAAAACTGATTAAAAAAAGGATTTAAGAAGTTAAACGAAGTACAGATAGGCTAACAGTTTGTTTTAAACAAGCAAACTGTTTCAAATGCTTTATCTTTAAATTTAGAGTCAGAAGCTCCTCTCCAAAACCACTTCCGTCGAAAGAAATCCTGAATGACCATTAAGATGCACCATGTCAGAAATTAACTTATTTTAAAGCGAGCTTTGTTTTCCTTTTGGACTGCAGTGTCTCACGTTTTCTTCCCTTCTGTCCTTGTCAAAGTCACCTTCTACTTCCCATAATCATTAATAAGGCCAAATATTCAGAAAAAAGGATAATACACTCCAGATGCTATTAAATTTGTAAACTAATTTCCAACAAACACGAGAGCCCATTTCTCTGATATCACCTGAACATTTGCTAAACAAATCATAAAAACTACACCACAGATTACTAAGCATTTCAATCCATCTTATTCCAGATTACAACCTTTTCTTTCAGTGATTAGTGTGAAACAGAATTGCCCTTAAAAAGCTGAATAAGAAGTTGTCTCATTCAGAAATTGTTGTAGAAACACACTTGAATAAAGAAAACAATGGATGCAGCTGAAAGTTTAGTTTGCGTTTTTATTCGTTATACGTAGACATCTCTTGAGTATACTATTTCATTTTCACAGACATACAAATGTTGTTAGAAAAGCATCATTCAAATAGCATACTTCCATGTGGAAGGTCTTGCACTACTGCAGACAAAACTTTGACTTCTTTTGCCGAGTCTTTACAACTATTTCCACAGTGCTGGAGCAACGGACTAACTTAAGCGCCTGGAAAAGCTCTCAACGCAGAATAAGGAGTATCTGCACGGGTAGCTAGTCCTAGTGCTGAGCAGCTCCTGCACCTGAAATTCACACACCTCTGCATTTATTCCAGGCTAATATTTTCTCTTCAAAGAAGCCCTGAGCTCCCAAAGGCTCCCCGGACGCAGCTGCGTCCCTAGAAACGCTGGTCGCTGGCGACTGACCTGTGAGGGCGGCGGTATGACCCTCCACCCCAACTCACACCATGGTTAGCTCTGCTGGGGCCCAATCAGCCAAACGAAGCTGCCTTTTTTATTTTTATTTTTTGTTCTTACCTTTCTAATCTGTCCACTTCCCATTCGTTTCTTCAGCCCCAGGCTCAGGGGGCGGCCCAGCCAGGACAGGTTAGCTGGGCTGCACCACCAGCCTGGCTGGCTCTACACCACGTTCATCGCAAGCTGTGGTGTTAGAGAAGATGTCATCATTTTAAAGGAAAAGGGGTTTTAGGAAAAAGTTACTGGTACTCTCTTTTTCCATGTGCGTGTGTTGGTAAAACCAGAGTGCCTTACTATGTACTGGATCCCATGATACACAAATACCTTTTTTTTTTTTTTTTAAATGCGTAACAAAGTGTGGTGATATTTTTATAATATCAGAATATTTTGGTTTTAATGCCCAGTGCTTGCCAAGGCACACGATTTTACAGGGAGTAGAGGAGAAAGCTACCCACCAGAGGATCATAAAGCACCTGCCTTCAAATGAGCCACCGTCTGGAAAGGTACTACTAGAAACGAACCACTACGTACAGCGCTTTGACCTGATTCAAGCTAGGGGATGAACAGCGGTAGGGAAAAGAAATAGTTGTGATAAAAATACTTCAGCAGATTCATAAAGAGTAACAAAAATAATTGTTTCAGAGCCGGTCAGGGGCTTGAAACTATGTTAGCAAGAACGCCTTGTTCGCAGAAAATTATTAATGAGAAGTGCAGAGAGGTGGGGTGGGGCAAGCACAGCACTTAGAGGTGCAAAAATAAGGAACAAGATGCCTGTTGAAACAACACCTAATTTGTTCCTATAACCTATTTGTTACATATCGCGTGGGTGTAAATTCAGCTAGGAGTTTCTCTATAGATATGTCACCAAACCAGGAGTCAAAGTCTAGTTCTACTCAAAAACATCACTGAAGTTGTGCTACTGACATGTAACGTACCCACACTAAAGCATACCGCATTCGACTTGAAGCGAATAAAGCCTACGGGGATCATCCTTTAGACACTAGAAACTCCTGCAGCTACTTGACATGGCTTCAGGGGTCACATTCACATTCGGCAGGAAGCTCCCAAGGGAGATTCTGCACAAGTAACAGCGACACAAAAGTCTTCCAGATGGTGCAATTAGTCTTGATGGGTATGTGGCAGAAGACAGGTGCCTCTAGGGAAAAAAGTGAACCGAGAGCAACCCAAGGGGAATCGCGCACACAGAAAAAAATGTATGCATCAAGCTGAGACACAGAAAACCTCTGCTGCACACAAGTAAATGCATAGGGTATCCAAAAAGATACATTAGTGTAATTTTGCTTGCTGCATCTCGAAAATTACACACTTCATCCTCGGGGGAATGCATACCAAAAAAGGTAGGTAAGTCAAACACGCTACAACCAACCCAGTCTTGCAAAACATTAAGAATTTGGCAAAAAGCATCTACTCTAGGTTTTAGCCACGTGACAAAATAACCTATTGGGAAACTGGCAGGTTCACAGCTTTACATACACAACACCGTCCGAGGGGAAAAAAAAATAAAATAAAACGCATCCTCCAGCACAGCGGAGAGGAGCCTCGCTCCGAAACACGCGCAGTGCGATGCGGTACAGCCGCAAGAGACTCACACCACCCACTCCGGCAATGACACTGGCTAATAGCTAATGCGCTGCAAATTACACCTCCTCCTACCAGAGTCCATCTGCTGCCGAGCATAAATCAAGCAAACACGAGCATCCCCCTCGACGCTCTGTGTACTCCGCAACGGGCAGAGCCATTTCAGCAGACTTTGCAGTTGAGAGATTAACCTCCAGTAATTTTCAGCGGTTTAACTCCAGCAGTAATTCAAATTTTTAATCAAAAACACTCCCCCCACAGTATTCATTGCACGCACCATTCCTCTGACTGAGCAGTCTCGATCAAATACCACAAAGATTGAAAATGGTTTGTGCTAGAGCAGATCACGAGGTGAAAAAACAGCTCATGTTCTCGCCGCTTTTTGCATTAAACTCTGTGAAATTAAACAAAGACGAGAAACGCAACAAATACAACAGTTACTGTAGGGAAGTGAGTGGACATGTATAAAACAGCATGGTACCAAACAGCCGAAAAAAGGCACTGGCAACTGCAAAATAAACCGACTCTGAAAGTGGGGGTAGTAGAACAGAGATACATCTATGTAGAGCAGTGCTAGTTCAAATTTAACTACTAAAAATACAGAACAAACTTCCAGCCAACACAAAAATGATAAGCTCTAACCGCTGGCCTGCCGGGTAGTGGTCGAAGGGAACAAGTCACCGTCCTTTCTGCCTCCTCTGGGGATTTGGTAAAGCTGGCCCTTCCTTTCCACGGGTTTTATCGAAGGCGTCCCGCCAAGAACAGCAATCATTTGGTTGGGATGTCACAAAAGCTTCGTTTCACTCCAAAGGGGAAAGAGGAGGAGACAGAGCGGAGATCCTGGGTGCTCCTCAGCCATTCCCCTCCCTTCCCTGCGCTGGATGTTGGGCAGAAGCAGGGGGAGAAGTCACCTGTTCACACAGTTTAATAAAAAAAACAGCTGGGAAAAAGTCCGTAACACACAACCAAAATCAGTTATGCTGATGGAGAAAATTTATGAGCCTAGGATCATGTCAATGAAAACACAGGCTAGTTTTTGGCTGAAATAAAAACTGTTAAGGAAAAAAAACCCAGCTCGATTCAAACCGACAATCCCAGATGTGATCATGTAAACACAGTTTTAAATCTATTACATCCAGGGAAAGTAACATCTATTTTGCTTAGCAGTCAGATAGGTTAGCAGGATATAGTTACGGTTGCAGGTGCAGGGTACATTTCAAAAAAAATTTTTTTTTTTTTCAAAATTAATTGCAATCGAGAATTTTAAATCTAGTGCTAGAGGTAAGCCATTGAGCTACTCAGCAAGACCGTCAGTTCCTTTATTAGAAATGCAAGAGTTCTGCTAGCCTCCGGCCTTTTATCCAATTTGCTTTATTAATGACGTACCAGAAGTAAATAAGAAATACTCTCCGACACACCCATTTTTTAAGCAGATGTTAAACCACTGTATTATATATACACTTAAATTTGAATCTCACGATTCACCCTAAGACCATATAATCACATTCAAATATGCACACATTTAAATAGTCAGAGCATTCAATTACATATTTGGCGTATGCTAAAAACAGTCTATAGTCACTTACTTTCATCTGCTATTGAAGTTTCAAGGATGTATAAAATCCCACGCTCCACAGAGCGTATCTTCAAAATGCATCAAAAATACTAACATTGGTTTGTTGTGATGACAAAGATCCAGACCTATAAAGGGATCAGCCTTGCCATGGCAAGTACTTTGAACACAGCTGAGTAAGGGAGAGAAAATAAACTTGCTTCATATGAGGAGAAGGGAAATTAAGAATGGGATTCAAAACAATCACCCAGCCACAGGAAACGATCCAAAGAAGGACCATGAGCTGAAGCCCATGAGCCCATGAGCTGTCTGGACTTCAACGCATACTGGAGGCTGCAGAAGAGTACCTGTGAGTTTCAGCAACTTACTCCTGGCTTGGACAACTAAATCTCTCTTTCGATACAGAAATTCAGTTTTGGGTTCAGGGTAGGTTTTTTTTTTTTTTTTTTTTAAAAACATGAAAAAGTGAAAAAGCGTTGTGATAGTGATGAGGCTCATTTTTTGTATAACAGTTTAACAACAAAAATATCTATCCAGTAAGAGCCAACCTGCGTCCTGGGTCAGGCCAGGCTCAGGGGAACTGCAATTCACACCTCTCACTTTGCAGGAAGGTGTCCTTACTAGCGAGGCAGATAGCAGGTTACAAGAGATGCCTTTCTAACCAGCATTTCTGTTCAGCCTGTCACTGCTCAAGAAGAAATACAAGATTTCACAGACAAAGAATACAAAGGACACAAAAGGCACAGTGTAACATAAAGGCACAAAGCAGTTAGAGCATGAATGTAAAGACAGGATGCAAACAGAGTATTTCCCATACAATGTAACGGCACAAAGAAGTTACAGACGCCTGTCTCTGTACTGACTCTTCATCCAAAGCAAAAACACAGCAATTCAGAAGTAGCATAGCCTGTTCACTTATTATATAATGCAACTTCTGAATAACTCTGACCATAAGATGGGATACTCGGACAGCTAAGACTAAGCCAAAATGGTAACCTGATCAAGTGCAAGAGGTTGTAGTCCTGCTGAGAAACTTGCCTGAAGACTCTGGGGTTCTCATCTCTACTTCTATAGCTATATACTGTGCGATAAGGACTCACTGAATAAGTTATACAAGTAAATGTTGTATTTGTGTGTTTCAGTCTGGCTAGCAGTCTTAAGAATACTTGGTGAATCACTAACAAGGCCACAAAACGCTCAGTTTCATAAGAAACTCACGAAATTTAACAAGGACAAATGCAAAATCCTGTACTTGGGATGGACTAACCCTCTGTGGACTGACTGGCTCTGCTGAAAAGGTCCTGGGCATCCCAACGGACAGCAAGCCCCAGCAGCAAGGAAGACAAACCGCGTGCTGGGCTGCATCAACGGAAACATAGCCAGTAGACTGAGAAAGGTGATTATTTGCCTTCATTCAGCACTCGTTAGACCACATCTGTAATACTGCATCCAGTACAACAGAAATCTTGATAATCTGGAGTGAGTTCAGCGGAGTGCCTCCAAAACAGTCAAGGTTGGAGTAATTGCCCTGTGAGGAAAGGCTGAGGGACCTGGGCTTGCTCAGTCTGGAGAAGGCTTCAGGGCACACAGCAACAGCCCTTCAGTACCTATGAGGGGACTACTATGAAGATGGAGCCAGGGTCTTTACTGCAATGTATGACAGAAAGATGAGAGACAAAGGCCATGAACTGAAACAGGGAAGAAAAAAAAATTCACCATAGAGTAAGCATGCATTGCATGCATTGGAACAAGTTATCCAAAGGATGCAGAAGCTCCATTCTTAGAGGTTTTCAAGACCAGGCTGGACAAAGCCCTTAACAACCTGGTCTGAATTCAGCGTGGACCCTGCTTTGAGCAGGATCTTGGACTGGAAACCTCCTGAGGTTCCTTCCCACCTGAATGGTTCCATGAGAATAAAAAAAAAAAAAAAAAAAAAAAGCCGTTCAGTTTTCACACGATTTTGCTGAGAAGAAAAAACATTTCTTAAAAGTGAAAAATTCCATACAGAGTTCATCACTACATCACTTATTAAATGTGACCTTCACAGAGATGCTGTGTTTCAAAAGCTATGCTTAGAATGACAGAAGAGCGCAGAACTTGAAGTTGCATCATTCTCAAAACAAAGTTATCGGGAGAAAAAAAGAAAAAAAATCTTACAATGTAAAATTTTGAAGGATTTTTCCTGGAAGTCAAAAGTACCCTTCAAAATCAGAAAAGAGAGCAGAGTCTTCTTGGAGCTGGTGCACATACTCATTTCTTCAGGCTTTTGTATATATCCCATATAAAGTACTACTTTCAAAAAGAAAATTCCAACAACCTTTTGAGCTCAGCTATGATTACAAAAGACGTTATCTTCTAGGAGACTGAAAGACTTAGAAAGTTAAAAAAAAAAAAAAAAAAGTGGTGGAGATTTAAGAAAACTGAATGGGGTCATACAGACCAAGCTTAAGAAACTATGGGTATTTGGGCAGGTAGAAAGCAAATACTGATGTTTGGCTTTGGTTTCTTAGCAGTTTAACGTATCTTAGTACTTACAGCTTCTAGAAACTCATACAACCTTAGAATTCCTGAAAGCAAAAAGTTTTCCCTAGAAACCCTAGAATCTCACTTAGGCATCCCATATCAGTCTGCCATTCATTGCTACTAGATTTACTGTTTCCTAAACACAGGGTTATTTGAATCATTAACATGAAGAGCAACTGTATATTTGCATATTACTTTACAGAGCTTCTGACTTACTACTTATTTCCTTTATGACAGGACATCCCAGAGAAAGATGGATCAGAAGAGTCGCCTTCAAAAACCAAACAAAAAACCTCTAAAGCCCAATTTTCTGCAAAATTTATGAGCAACTGAGGACCAAGGGGAAAGACTTTTGCTTGGAAGGAGAAAGAGGATATCCAATTTTTTCACCTGGGTGAAAACACACAGCAATAGATTAACTAAAGTTTCAGCAGAGTTAGTTTTAGGTTGTATGGTCATTTAGGATCTGAAGGCAGCCTATCACAGACACTAAAAAAAAGACTATAAAAATAAGGGCAGCTACAATCAGATGTGATCTCAAAGCCTAATTGTTTAGAAAAAAAGTGAAAATGAATTTTGGCTGTAGCTAGGTTTTGTAGCTTTCCACCATGGACAGCTGATCAATAACTTAAATGCAAGCTAAAATGCACAAACTAGTTTTATGCTGTGCATTTTTAATATACTTACTAAAAACAAGCAAAGAAACAAATAAAAACACTTAGAGACACCGATATCACGTTTATAGCCGTCAATAGCCCAGAAATGAGTGGATTTTCTCTGCTTTTTTTTTTTTTTTTTTTTTTTTTAAACAGATCTGATGAGTGATGAGCCCAGGGCAAAAAGGACTACCTACAAGGGTGATACTAAAGACATCATATAGGAAAAAAAATTTTTTTAATCAACTGCCAGTCTCTGCTGTTTTTCCTGGTCAGTGTTTGACTTGATCTTGGAATACGATGTGGACAGCAGGCTGGCAATTGCCTAACACCAAAAAATACAGTTAGTGTCTGAGTGCAATTACTCTGAGCAGCAGGAGCTTGCAGGTCTGGCACCCTTATTTTTCTAACCATAGATAGACAGAAGACTAATTTTGGTGCGTCTGATTTCTCCATCAATATTTACTTCATTTAAACTCTGTGGGAGGTCTAGCACCCCACTGTCAACCAACATCAACAGGACTACTCAAGCACAAGACTACCCTTTTGAAAACAGGCTCTCTCAGATGTGGGAACAAGCAG